CCCTCCTTTGTTGCCTGATGTAAAACTTTGAGGGCCTCCCTACCAAACAAGAAGGCTTGGGTATTTCAAGGTAGGGTATGGTTTGGGAGGTCTACATAGTGCAAGGTAGGTTCCTGTAATTATTAGGAACTGACTGACGATGGTTATTCGGAATCATGCTCCACCTTCTACTATGATGCAGGCAGAAAGCTTACCGGTCATGTTGCATGACCCTAACATGTGCGTGATGCATGTAGGTATGCATGCAGGCATGCTTTAGCGTGTATATATATATATATAAGCATACACATACATACTCGTATAAAATACATATTAAAAGAAACTAAATATATAAATACAACTTGATACATAAATGCATTCGTGCAAGCGTGCATACTTGCATATGCAAGCACGTCCATGTACTTGCAACTAGCATAAATAAGCCAGTCTAAGCAGGTCTAACGAACTATCCACTCTCCCTCTGGCTCCTAGACCTAAGAGTAACCTCGGATTTAAAAGGGTGCCCTTTTGGGGTTAAAGCGGCTTATAAGGGAACCTAAACCCTAAAAAAGGAAATAAGGGCCTACTCTGGATCCTACTGTTGATGATATAAACCCTGCATGACCTTAAGGACCCTAAACTATGGGAATTATGGTATAAGCCTTATTATAGATAATGCAGGATTTACATCAATTCCAGTAGTCTCAGACTTTGGGCCTATTCTGGGTCCTACTTGGAGGATCATAGGACTTAGTAAGTAGGGTTATAACTACCTTAATTACGGATATATGTACTTATAAGTGTAGTTACCTTACTTATAACCCAAATTACTGAGTCCCATGATCCTTTAAGTAGACCCTAAACTGGCCCTAAACCCTAAACCCTTATAGTACCCCTATAGATCCCTTAAAGGGGCCCCTTACATGAACCCCAGTTACTAAGTCCCATGATCCTTTAAGTAGTCTCAGACTTTGCAGTCTCAAAGTAGGCGGCTTCGTCGGGGTTGCAGGCAGAGGATGCACTAAGCCAAAATTCTTGGAGGGGCAGGGGACTTAGTAAGGGCTCTTAAAGGGCACCTTAAAGGGATCTATAGGCTATGGGGTTTAGGGTTTAGGGTCTACAGGGGACCTAGTAAGTAGGTTGTAAGTAGAGTTATAAGTACCCTAAATGGAGTTACCCCACTTATAACCCTACTTACAACCTACTTACTAAGTCCCCTGCCCCTCCAAGTAGCTCGCCAGAGCGGGAGACTAGGCGAAATCCGAATCTTCGCGGCCGAAGGCTTCGGGTTTTCGGTTGAAGACTTAGGGCTTAGGTTTTAGGTTTTTCGGGTTGGGAGTTTGGGGTTACGGGTTTTTAGGGCTTTGGATGTTTGTCCGCCTTGGTGTCTCCAGATTCGTGGCGGTTTATCAGCGCACCATAAGACACCTGAACAAACCTGCGAAACATGCCCAAACCCAAGCCTTGATGGTTTAGGGTTTAGGGTTTAGGGGTCAAGACGAAGGAATCACGTCTTCGCAGCTCAGCTCTTTTGTTCTTCGCGGTTGCGAGTTTGGGGCTAAGCACCGAATAACGAAGTACTGTAGGTGAGAATTGGTAGCTCGGGGTGGCGGGGGAAGGGGGGACTATAATGTAAGAAACCTGATGATTAAGAATCCCTTCGTCGAAAACCCCTAAGTAAGCAGGATTCATATGGGAATTTTGCGAAATTGGGGGTCCCTTTTTGGGTCCTTATTATAATACGGCACCTAATATTTAGAGCACCAAAAAAAAGACCATAATTTCGACAACCACCCATATAAGGAACCCCAAAAAAGGGCCCAAGGTTTCTTAATCAGGTTCCTCCCTTAAACCCCTGAACCCTTCGACTTCTAAACCCCTAAACCACCTAACCCCTAAACCCCTAGTAATTTGGGTTATAAGTACGGTAACTACACTTATAAGTACATATAACCTCAATTAAGGTACTTAGAACCCTACGTACTAAGTCCCATGATCCTCAAAGTAGGACCCAGAGTAGGCCCAAAGTCTGAGACTACTGTCGATGATACAAATCCTGCATGACCCATAATAAGGAATATACCATAATTCCCATAGTTTAGGGTCCTTCAGGTCATGCAGGATTTATATGCCGTAGTACCCTTATAGATCCCTTTAAAGGAAACCTTATAGATCCCTTTAAAGGGCCCCTTCCTACATTACCCACATTAGGTACTTGGACCCTTGCTGTAGCAGATGCGCCTCTGCCTGCGTCCAGCGGACATGCTAAAAAAGAGGAGCCCAAAGCACTGTCCCACTGAGGGCTAGTAAAGGGGCCGTAATAATTCGAATAGGGTTTTGGGCCTTTCATAGTATACTTGGACAAGGAGGGACCCTGAAGATATGATCTTGGTAACTGTTTGGGCTTCTATGTCATATTATTCGCTTTGGGGTTTGGGGCCCTAAACCCTGAACCGAATTTCGACTTTAGGCTTTCGGATGAAGGAACTTGGGGTTACTTTGGGGGTTTGGGGATGTTCGTGGTCTAGACCCAGAGCCCCATCTTAAACCTCAGAGCAACACTTCGAGGATCATGGGACTTAATAAGTAGGGTTGTAAGTACCTGAAGTGGGGTTATAAGTAAGTATAACTGTACTTACCTTACTTATAACCCCAGTTGCTAAGTCCCATGATCCTTTAAGCACTGGAGGAGGGGTTCAGGCTCGCCGGGGGTCCGTTGGCTTACTTCCCAAATACCTGTGGGGAAAAGTTCAAACTTTCGAGTAAGACTACCTTGTAAGAGCCCTAAACATTGAAAAGTTTGGTTTCATGCCACTAAGTTAGTCCGACTTCCTTTCATTTCAATCCAGAACCAATCTATGTGCTAAGTTCTCATCCCCAAAGCACTTAAAGCCTGAACAATCTACGCTATGCTTGAACGTACCCTAAGGGTCCATGCGCCCAAATAGGGCTCTTTTTAAAATTTTAAGGGTGCCATAAGTGTTCTTTTAAGGGTTTTATAAGGTTTATGATTTAAGGGTACATGTACCCAAATAGCAGATACTTTGGCCTTAAAGTAGTCCCCAAAAGGTACTTTGGGGCCAAAGTATATCCTTTTCGGGTACATGGACGCTTCGGGGTAATGAATGGCAGGGCGATTTAAGCTCATGCATGTACATTTTGAATCCGCAGGGTGCAGATCCAGGGGCTCAGAAGCTCGGTAACCGTGACAACCTACTACAGGGGACTTCATAACTCGAAGAGGATGTTTACGTCGCTTATAGTGCGAGTGAGGACTTCAAGGGGGTAGTACTAGCAAGTAGTCAGACCTCTACCACCATCCCGTACTTACGAACCCCCCACTAACTTTAAGCCCGAACCCTTCAACCCGAGGAGCAAAGAAGCAACAATTGTTGTTGTTCGCAACACGAATGCCAATACCACAATTATGGTCATAAACATGAGAATTCTGTTACCATTTTATTAATACTGGAAATAAGACTATCTAGCTAATGGCAATAATGGCCATAACAACAACGATAACAATCCGACAGGGTATGTCTAATAACAAATAATGAAAAATGAGAAGACAATAATTCAAACAGTAACTAACCTTGGCTGACTTCTGAACCCCTCCTAAAAGTTGAACGTTTAGCTTCCTTATTATAGTTCGTATAGAAGCGCAAAAAGTTGAAGTCTAAAGAGCCAACCAGAAGAACGCCAAGTGACTATACGAAAATAGGGGACCCCAAAATAGTACCCTAAATACTGGGATCCTTATTCTAAGGACCCCCCAAATAAGGTACCCCTAATTCTTGGAAACTCCTATATAATCCCCTGCTGCAGCAGCTCTGTGCTCGAGGGACCTCATGTGTCTTCACTTCGGGCAGCAAAATTTGGAGCCGTGTCACCCAAAACCAAAGTCCCTGCACACTAAAGAGCTTAGGGTTTAGGGATTGTTTTTTTTTTTTGTTTGGGGGGGCTCCTTTTTCCATCTGCAATCCACAGGTAGAAGGGTTTGAGGTTTAGGCTTAAGGCGGTTTAGGGGGTTTAGGGCTTAGGTAAAGGCTTATCTGTCCAGTATCTGAGGGGACCAACGGCTCTTCACAGGCTAAAGGTTACTTACTCTACTACTACTACTACTACTACTACTACTGCTACTACTGCTACTACTGCTACTACTGCTACTACTGCTACTACTGCTACTACTGCTACTACTACTACTACTACTACTACTACTACTACTACTACTACTACTACTACTAAACCCTAAACCCCTTAACCCCGAAACCCTAAGAGGCTAAAGGTTTCTTACGCTACTGACTGCTGCTAAGAATTACTGGGAAGGTGGTGAACATGAAAAGGGCAAGAAGGGCGTTTCGAATTTCGGACTATTAACTGAAGTTACCATAGCTTGAGGCTCCTTTCAGAGCTCCATTAAAGGATCTATATGGGTTCTATGCGAGTCGAGGGCGTAGGGTTTAAGTTAACATAATAGGGATCTACCGTAAAGAGGTGTATCCTAATACCCAGATGATTCGGCCCCTACCGGCTTCTTCCACAAGTTAAAGATCGCAATTCCTTGAGACCCCGGGCCTTGAACATTGAACATGATATAGGGGCCTTATATATATATATATATATATAATAGAAAAATTAGAATAGGGCTTGGGGCCCAATATACTTTAAGTATAATAAGGAACCCCAAACATAGTAAGGGTAGTTATTAGGGCCCCTATAGTACCTGAACCAACTTCTTGACAAAGACCTACATGCCGAACATTTACTTTTGAGCTATTGCGAACTCCCTAACGTTGAAAGCTACACCCTAAATGTTGAACAGTTCATCCTAAATCCCGATCCTACACCCTTAACCTTAAATCTTCAATCCTAAGCTTTATACTAAATAACCCTCAGCCCTAAACTTTAATCCTGAACTTGAAACCCTTCACAGTGCAGTCATGGAGGAGACAGCGGACTTTGATGCCAGGCACGGCGGACCTTCTGGAGGATGTGGAGTGGGGCGCCTTGCTGAGCCCTCGTCATGCGGCACCTGAGACGTGCCTATAGTCTCCATTGTAGTTCCCAAAGGGTCCTATGTACTGTTATGGGCAATACTTCCCCAAATCATAATAGTCATTCCTAATATAGAAACCCTACATTCTACTTTATCGGTACTTTGGACCATTTGGGGTTCCTTTTTTTGGTTAACCAGTTTTATGGTTAGGATCCTGTATTAGAGTTTGTGGTTAACCAAAAAAAAGGGACTACAATGGAGACTTTAGGTGTTTTCGGAATTCGACAGCAAGGGGGCCCAATACCGACTTACTGCGTATGGTCAGGGTTGAGAGTTTAGGGTTTAGGGTTTGGGTTGAGGGTTTAGGGTTCAGGGTTGAGGGTTCAGGGTACTCCAGATCCTTGACAACAAGATTCGGTTTTCGTAAGCGGACCCTGAAAGAACAAGGGCAAAAGGGTACTACTCAGGAACCCAGATTTTCGTGTCAAGCAGAGCAGGTATAGCTCTACAGAATAAACATGAACTGGAAGGCACCCTCCAAGCCACATAACGTAGGGGCCTGAATATATAGAATAAGGGTTTTGTGGGTTCCTTATTATGCTTCTAATTTTATATACCCCCAAAACCTGTTCTAAATCTTAGGGCCCCTATATTAGTTAACGTTAGGCTGACGGCCCAAAAAAAATACAGCCGGAGCGGCACATGACAAATCCGACCCAACAAATACAACTACAGAAACTCATCAAATTCCGCCATGACACCAACCTGTAGCCGAAAAAAGACCTACTGTTTTAAGGAACTATATAATAAGGAACCCTAAAAAGATAGGCCCTTTCGGCTACAGGAAGCCCTTAAACTGTAACCCTGAACCCTTGCGGCCATGAAGTATGGACCGAGCAGAACGTCGAAGGCACCACGGCCCGCGTAGCAGCCTTTTACGGGGATTTTGGGCTGTATGGCGCTTAGGGTTTAGGGCTTAGGGCCTAGGGTTAGGGTTTCGGGCTTAGGGCTTAGGGTTTAGGGCTTTTAGGGCTTAGGGCTTAGGCGGAGGAAGGGGTACGTGGCCGGACCGCTTCTAGGGACGACTATCTTAGATAGGTATCTAACGGACGAACTAACCAAAGAACTAACTGACTGACTGACTGACTCACTACTGACCAACTAACTATTATAACTAACTAACTAACTAACTAACTAACTAACTATCTAACTAACTAACTAACTAACTAACTAACCAACTAGCTAGCTGGCTAGCTGGCTAGCTAACTAGCTACTAGTAACTAACACTTTACCTAACTGTGACTAGCTTTGACTAACTTTAACTAACTAACTAACTAACTAACTAGCTAGCTAGCCAGCCAACTAACTAACGTAACTAATTAAGCAACGAAGCAACTCTATACGTACATACGCACATGCAAGAATGAATGCGCACATACAGATACTCGTGCATACATGCACACACATACATACATACATACATACATTACATTGCATTACAAATACAATACACTACATAGCACAGCACACATACATATATATATATATATATATATATATGTGTGTGTATATATATATACATATGTATATACATACATACGTACATACACGCATACATATATAATTACATACGTACATATATATATATATATATATATACATATACATATATTCACACACATGCATTTGAATGTTAAGCTGTTCCGTTTTCGACGGCCCTTAACCCTAAACCAAACAACTTATAACCTCAACTAGGGTACCGCTGAGCCCTTAAGCAATGCCTCCTCCCGGCTTAAGGACTTTACAATTTCGATCCGCATGGTCGCGCCTTTAGTTTTTCCAAAGATAGAGCCGAAAAAAAAACACATAAGCAACAATTAGGATAGGGATATCCCATATAAACCCCCTTATAATGAAGCCCAATAAGGTCGGGACATGCCCATAAGATGCTTATGCTTATGTGCTTTTGGGGTCCCTAAATAAAGCCTTTTCAGAAACCCCTTTAAATACCCAGCGGAGTTCCTGAGTCCCACGAACAGCTTTGCCGAGAATCTGATAGTGTGAGAGATCATGCTTGTCGGAGTTACGGCGATGAGGGTTTAGGGTTTAGGGGCTTAGGGGCTTCGGGTTTAGGGTTTGAGAAGCACAATATGATGTTTCCCACTTTAGGTGCTAGAAGACCTAGTGGGAGGACAGGCTGTCTGGAGAGATCGTGAATACTGCGGCAGCCTCATCCGACGTCTCTGCGTTCGACTGCCTGGAGCAACGTTGGTTCCAAGTGATGAACCCATGCACACCTTGATCCGAAGATCACTGAAAGCTAAGTAATCGATTCGGGTATCTATGTTTCGGATCGGCTTTCCGAGTGTCGAACACTAACTGCTACTGTCTTACTGCAGTTGCAAGCAACTAGCAATGGTCGAGTTCAATGTCACAACCGCCAGAGTATCAGACAAGACAGGCTCAGCATCTAAGCTCAAGCATAAGCTACGCTGAGGATGTTGGGTTCAGGCTGGTTGGGGTAGAGTCTCTTAGAGAGGTTTGGCAATATTTTCAAAGGGATGTGGGGTACATTATCGTATGATAAAACCCACATATGGACTGTAGGGGGATATTGTTCCCAACTCATGATGCCTCTCTTTTGGGAGTTAGGGTTGGGGCACTGCTGCTTAGGTTCCGGGGTATATTGCCCTGAACACACTCCCAATACCAGATAATGAACACTCTATGCAGCCTAAAAAAACTCTACCTTCGAATTCGACAACTTATACATTTTCACGGTTTTCCACCCCAACAACATGGGGAAGGATCATAACTGTCGTAACTCACTAAATTGTAGGGTCTGGGGCTATGAATAGGTACTCAAGACCCTGGAGCCCTCAGGATTCACCTCCAACCCGACCGAAATCCGAAATCTGCAAGGTTCCTGAGTAGCAAGAAGAGTATCCCCTTCTTCCTACTATTCGGTAAAAAGAAGAGGGCGAAAAGGTTACTACTCAGGAACCTGGGAACCTAGTCCTAAACCCCAATCCCGAAGCCAAGCAAACCCTAAACCCGAAACCTTGAACCCCTAAACCCCTAAACCCCTAAACCCCTATACCCCTAAACCCCTAAACCCGAAACCCTGAACCCCTCAACCCTAAACCCTGAACCCTAAACCCCTAAACCCTAAACCCCTAAACCCCTAAACCCTTAAACCCTGAACCAAGAAACCGCCGGGCACCAGAAGAGGGCCGAATCGGGTTTTGGAAATATATCGTCCTACTATCCCTTAATTAAGGAATATTCCTTAAATCATACTAGGGATCCTACTATAGTTTAAGGTATACTCCTTAATTAAGGGATATTGGAGTCTCTGGCGACTTGAAGTGGGGGTCTGCTTAAAGGATCATGGGACTTGGTAACTGGGGTTCCTTTAAGGGGCCCCTTTAAGGGATCCATAGGGGTACTGCCAGGGTTTAGGGTTTAGGGCCTACTTAAAGGATCATGGGACTTAGTACTTGGGGTTATAAGTAAGGTAACTACAGTTATAATTACTCATAACCCCAACTAAGCTACTATAAACCTACTTACTAAGTCCCATGATCCGCCAGGTAAGAGGATGAGGCCACTTTAACAGGACATGATAAAAACTATTCCGACACCTCTATTATCGTCCACTTAGAAGGCCGGCGACCCGATATAAGCCGCAAACCCAGAGACTCCAACATCCCTTGGTTAAGGAATATATCCTAAATTATAGTAACAGTAGGTTCCTAATATGATTTAAAGAATGTTCCCTAAAGGATGTTTGGAGTCTCAGGGAATATCCCAAGCTGCAGAAGCCTCATTTGTCCCCATCGAGCCCCGAGTACGGGCTGTAGCCAGCAGGTGGCTCTCCTCCGTGCGAACCCCAACTCTACTTAGGGGGTTAAGGGTACCTTTAACGGACCTGAAAGGGCTGCTTAAAAAGGGATCTATAGGGGTTCCGGGGTACTGTAAGGGTTTAGGGTTTAGGGTCTACTTAAAGGATCATGGGACTCAGTATCCTCAAAGGGCTCCTTAAGGGGTTCCTTATAGGGTTCCAGCAGAGATCTATAGGGGCTTAGGGTTTGAGGATCATGGGACTTAGCAATTGGGGACATTAGTAAAGTTACTACAGTTGCAATTGCTTACGACCCCAATTACGGTACTTATAACCCTACTTACCAAGCCCGATGATCCTCCGAGTAGGGCTCTCTCGAATTCTTCTGCTTGGGTTTACGGGGGTTAGTGTTGACTGTGCAGGGCTGCTCTTCATTAAGTGTGCATCGATACCAGTAACACTAAGAATATTATATATAATGTATCATATATATATATATACATACACATCGGAAAATACATATTAAATAAATATATGACGAGTGTAGACAAATAAATACATGCGTAGATATACACGTATATATATATATATAATATAATATAATATATATATATATATATATATATATATATGCACGTATGCCTAGAGGTATGTTGCTTTTGTTGCTTCACAGAGTAATGATACGATTTTGGAGTTGGGCTTGATGATTTGGGCTGCTAGGGCTTTGGAGCTACGGGTTCTGTTTGGGTCTGACCCATTTACAAGGCTTCAGCTGGACTCCTTTTAAGATTTTAAGGAGCTTAAAAACAAAGTTATCATAATATGGAAACCCTGTGATTTACTATATATCTCCACTATGGTAACTTCACGTATGTTCCTTTACAAGGCTTCAAGCTTTTGAGGATTTTAAGACTCAGGGCTTAGGGTTGAGGACGTACATGCTGTTTAGGGGTTCAGGGAGTTTAGGTTTTTATTGTTTAGGGTTTTAGGGTTTAGGGGCTTGTGGGGCTTGGGGGTTTGGGGTTTTGGGATCTGGGATGAAGGGCACAGGATGGCCAGTGGTCCTGAGAGCACGATCGGCGGCATAATCGATGATGCACTTTGGCACTAGGGGCGACGCCCTCAAGCCTGAGCCGCGATTGTGCGCTTCTGGAAGGTGGAAGGGGAGTGTAGGGGTTTAGGGTTTAGGGTGCAAAGTCGGACTCGAACGGGGTTTTGGGGTAGGTATACTATACTGTACTTAAAGGGAAGCATCCGTATCTATTGCGGCTTCTATGTTTTTATATTCGACTGCAGGGTTTTTGGGGCTTGGGAAAACTGCGGAAAGCTCAATCTCGGTGGCCAGTCACCGTTCAATCCTGCACTCTGCACGTTTGTTCCCAGGGTCCAGACGGGTTCGGCGACAAGGATGCTTCCCAAAGACTCCAATACCCTTTATTAAGGAATATTCCTTAAATCATATTAAGGATCCTTAATATGATTTAAGGAATATTCCTTAATTAAGGGGTATTGGAGTCTCTGGGTTGGAGGCTCAAAACTCAGGTCCCCAACCCTAGACCATCTAATGATGCAAGCTGCGACATTAACCAGGATTCTTCTAAACCTTACACATTCAAACCCACAAGACCTAAATGCCAAAGCGCTGAAACCCTAAACTCCAAAAGCCCTGAAGACCTAAACTCCAAGAGCCCGAAAGCCCTAAACACAAAGCCTTAAACCCCAAACCCGAAGCTATAAACCCTACCTTAAGCCGGAATAACCTACCTTTTTAGGGTTCCTTATTATGATTTCCTTATATAAGTCCTTAAAAAGGTAGGTTATTCCGGCTTAAGGTAAACCCAAAGCTTTAAACCTCAGGGACTGGGTACCCTGGCCCAACAAAGGTTAACCTTCTCAATGAAGGTAGGATTATTAACCCCAAAAGGGTTTAAGGTTACCTACTCAGCTGCCTAAACCCTAAACCCTAGACCCTAAACCCTAAGCCCCTAAACCCTAAACCCTAAGATAATCAGGACCCACCCATCTCCCCAACTACCTCCCAGGGCTCCCGGCGCGTCACGCAAAGCCAGACCCTACTCTCCTCGGCCCCCTGGGGTTGCACGTGCCAGTAGCCGGAGGCCTTCCCGAAAGGCTTCGCAGCTCTGAGGTTTCTGCAGGATTATAGGGTTTAGGGTTTAAGGTCTAGGGTTTAGGGTCTAGGGCGTGGGGGTTCAGGGTTTAGGGTTCAGGGCTTAGGATTTAAGGTTTAGGGCTTAAGGTTTGGGGTTCCGGGCTTCGGGCTTAGGGTTTAAGGATTAGGGTTTAAGGTTTGGGGTTTAGGGTTTGGGGCTTAGTTGGTTCAGGTTCAGGGTTTAGGGTTTCGTGCCAGGATGTGCATGTTTGTTTTCTTTTTTCCGGGTGGGTGAGGGGAAAGGTGGTGTATCTAAGGATCATGGGACTTAGTAGCTTGAAGGGTTCCTCAAAGCACTTCAGAAGTAATCTATAAGGGTTTATGGTTTTAGGGGAAGCTAGGGTTGCAAATAAGGTGGCTAACCGTTAACCACTTGTAACTAAGCTGAAGGTTATCAGGGGTACCTCGCTAAGGGTCCTGAAAATTTATTTTTAAGCCGGGTCTACATCAAGCAGGGTCCCCAGAGACTCCAATACCCCTTAATTAAGGTATATACCTTAAATTAAATTAGGATCCCTACCCTGATTTCAGGAATATTCCTTATATTAGAGTCTCTAGGTCCGGTTTCCCAAAAACCTCTGGATCGTGGTAAGTTTTACAAGGCTTGCTGCCAGCAGCACGGGACCTGCCAGGCTTTTGTCGATCGTGGAGTGTAGGGTCCAGGGATGTAGGATTTTAGGCGAGAGTATGCGGCGAGGACTGATTACGGGTTTAGGATTCGAGGCTTCAGATGTCGGGATTTGGGCTTCCGAGTCCAGCTTTATGGTTCAGGGCCCAGGGTTCCCTGAGATCTCCATCCCCCGAACACAAAGAATTGCAATGTCTTGTCGAGGTTCTTACCCAAAGCCCTAGAGCCTAAACCCTAAACCGAGGCGAAGCTGCATGTCAGGCCCAACAGGACTGTTTTTTGTGGGCTTCAGGTGTTTCGGGTTTAGGGTAGCTAGGTTAGGCCTCTACACTCCAGGCTCCATTATACTTACTTCCCCAATAAGCCAGGGAAATAAAAGGTTGAACTTTGAGATTACTACTAAAATCTATAAACCCAAAACGTTTAAAGGTCAGGTATTGGGGAGCTAAGTATTTCTGCGGGAAGGTAGCCGTTAAGAGGGTGACGGAGCGTAAGCTGCATCATGTAGGAACCTGATTAAGAAACCTTGGGCCTTTATTATAGGGTTCCTTATATGAATCCTACTATTTTGGGGCTTTCAGCCCGGCGTCTCTTAATCAGGTTCCTACAGGTGGGATGAACAAAAGGAGAAGAGAAGGGTCGTGGGAGTACTGCCGCTCGTGGATGTCCGCTCTTTGTATAAAACACCGAAACCATTATGTGGCAGCAGTGCCAGCTAGAGCCGAACACAACTAGTCAGAACGTCTGGCTTGACGCATCGGCTGCAGAGTGCTCCTTGCGAAATGTCCCCGCAAATGTGCACATTCGCTGGCGTGTGTGACCGGAAATGTGTCCTCAAGCTGTTGGACACGTGTTGTGACCCATCGGCTGCCGCGAAGACTGACATCCTGGAAAGCGCATACATTCGAAACGTTCTGTACTTCCGTAACCCTCAACCCTAAACTGCCCTAAACCCTTCACCCTTAAACCCTAAACCCTATAAACCCTAAGCCCTAATGTTGGCCTTTGTTATGTCGCAAGTACCCGCAGCCTTCCCTTGCGTCCTGTTCCCATGGGATTGGTGAAACCAGGAATGGACAGCTCATGCAGGGTTTAGGGTTTGGGGTTTAGGGTTTAGGACAGCTCTTGGATGACTTGCTTCAACACGAGCGATCGTGAGATTCCGCCATATAGGTCTTTCGCAGCATCATTCAACCGTGTCATAGGATACAATCACCCTTCAGCCCAATGAGCATAAGCTCAAGTAGGACTGTACTCAGTCTGGTATTCGGTAGACTTTAGCTTCAAGTGCCCAACTAGCAGTGTATAGCTTTAGGTACTACTTGGGTGCTTGAAACCTAGAAGCTGCGACGGGGGGCCCGAAAGTCGAAACTGAAACTACAAACGTTAATTCGCTAAACCCTGCAATAGCTTCAGCAGGTGGAATAGTCTGACCCATAAACCCTCAAAGCCGTAGACCCCAACAAATCGTGTGGAACATTGTCGAACCTTATAAAACCTGAAATAGCGCATAGGATGACAAAACCTTAAACCCTAAACCCCTAGAATCCTAAACCCTAAACCCTAACCCTAAACCCTAAACCCTAACTAGAATCCTAAACAACGGAATAAAAGCCCGGGGCCCTGCGACATGAAGCACTCCGCCTCGTGTAGAACCAGCCTTTCGGGGAGCAACGGCGGGCGAGAAGAGACTCCAACATCCCCTTCCTGAAGGACCAATGACCCTTAAAAGTAGGGGCCCTATACACATTTACTATGAATACCTATATGGTATATGAACCTTAAACCCTTTTAGGGTTCATTTCGTCCTTAAGGTTTTTTCAGGAATTTACTATATTAAATTGCAGTAGGATCCTTAGTGTGATTTAAGGAAGATTCCTTCATGAAGGGATGTAGGAGTCTCTGGGCTTCCGCACATGGTTTCGCCGGAAAGCCCATGTTCAGGGTTGAGGGTTCAGGGTGTAGGGGGTGGGAAACTTGGATTTAGGGGTTTACCCTAAGGGTCCGAACAAATTGGGGAACTAAAAAGTGAGGGTCTTTGAGACCCCAAAGAGACCCAGGGACTCTCCCTAGGACATTCCGGACCCTCCTGACAAGATACCTGGACCCTTAGGGTAGCGTCTTCTTAACTGTCAGCCCAGCACGCCTTCAAAAGGCATACAGTCTTAAACAACCGTTCAAAACGGCATATAGCCTTTAAGTTGCACAGGCATCTTTAATAAATGTTGAGGCAAGCGTGGCCTACTGTATGGCTTGAGGCGCATTTGGATTGCTGCGCTGCAGCCACTCTAACTCCACATAGATACAGGCTGATAGAGGTATGTATTCTGCTTGAACCGTAAACTTGGCACGCACCTTTGACACACAAACCGCTAACTGTCTTAATTCGACCGAACAAACCGCAAACGGATATCCGCTGGCGTTCCTCTCTCCGCATAAACATCACGCCTATGCTGGCCTGCACACCCCACGCCTGCACAGGTGAGTTCTGTAAAGCTACGGCCCCCAAACCCTATATAAACCCTAAAGCAATTCACAAATTCATTGCCAATATCCACCCTTCAGCCAAAGGGCCCATGAATTCAATCAGGTACTCAAGAATGCAGCCCTTTCTTCAGAAGCGATATATGTAACTGCACCGAAAGTTCAGGGTATCATGAATACAGGGGCCTTAATAATTCCAGTAGGGTTTCGGGGTATACTATACGAACAACTATGATAAGAAGGCCCCCCCTAAAAAGTAGTATGCTTGGAGGATCATGGGACTTAACAAGTAAGGTTATAAGTACGGTAACTACAGCTATAATTACATATAGCCTTAAATAAGGTACTTATAACCCTACTTGCTAAGTCCCGTGATCCTCCAAGTAGACCCTAAACCCTAGACTCTTATAGTACCCTTAACCGCCTACTTACTTAGTCCCATGATCCTCCAAGTAGGTGATTATTTCGGCGCCGTCAGTGGACACTATGATAGGACCCCAAAAAAAGCACGTAAGCATAAGATTAGGGTTTGGGGTTTAGGGTTTTAGGGACACTGTAATAGGGCCCCCCAAAAAGCAAGGATGGGATATCCCATATACCCCCCCTTATAAATAATGAAGCCCAATAAGGTAGGGATATCCCTACAAGCCGCTTATGCTTAGCTAGGATACCCAGTAACCTAAGAATAAAAAGGCCTCTCTTTTTGGTATTGGGTAACTTTATAAGGAACCTAGGACTACAAAAAGGGAATAAGGGTACTACTGGGCATCCTAGATAATGTAGGCTGAACCTTTAAATGGATCTATAAGGGTTCCTTTAAAGGGATCTATAAGGGTTCCTTTACAGGCATTTATAGGGGTTCCTTTAAAGGCATCTATAAGGGGTTCTGTCCTGTCTTTGGGGTTCCCTAATATATCACCCTAAACCCTAAACCCTAAACCCCTAAACCCTAAACCCTAAACCCTAACCCCTAAACCCCTAAACCCTAAACCCTAAACCCTAAACCCCTAAACCCTAAACCCTAAAACCCTAAACCCTAAACCCTAAACCCCTAAACCCTAAACCCTAAACCCTAAACCGGCATATTGCAGGCCGGGCCTGGGCCCCGTCTCGTCCAACTCGAAGCTCAAGGTATTCTTTGCCCGGTCGACGCTGTGGCGGGCCTCTTTAGCGGGTTTAGGGTTTAGGGCTTAGGGTTTAGGGTTAAGGGTTTAGGGTTTAGGGTTTATAGGAAACTCTTTAGCGTTTAGGGTTCAGGGTTCAAAAGAGACTCCAAAACCCCTACCTTAAGTTATAGTAGGATCCCTAAAATGATTTAAGGAATATTCCATAATTAAGGGATATTGGAGTCTCTGGGTTTAGGGTTTCGAGTTTAGGGTGTCTGGGCGAAGAGTTTGGGGCGTCATTGAGGGCTTGTGGGGTGGTTAATGTAGGGGTCTGAGTAATTGCAGTCGGGATATCGGGCCATTCTATACTACTATATTCCGGACCATGAGGGGATAGTGTTACAACCCATTCCGACTTCTACATTAGCGCAGCTTTGCTGGACCCCCAATACAGCTGCGTGTTGATTCCTGTCGCCCAAAGCCTTCAACGTCTGGTTTCTCATGGTGCGAGCAATCCTGTCGGTTAAAATCCAGGCAGTCGCGTTACACGTGTGCACAGGCTGACAGACGCTTTCTCTCTGTCTGTGCTCGGCAGGGGCGGCTGTTGGCAGACTGAGTTGCTACACACTACCACAAACCCTAAACCTACCCTACCGTCCCAATGTAACCTGTCGAGCAAAAAGACTGCAGCTTCGGCGTAACCTTCGAATGGACAACTAAGAGCATCAATCACCCCACACCTGAAACGCGCTAAACCCTATAAACAAGAACAGCCTATGCCCTAAGCGACCACCAAAATGCTAAAATCCCTCCTAACATCCCTGAAGCCCTTCAAACCCGAATCCGTGAACCCATCGAGATCTCAATTCAAAGTCCCAGCCCATCCGAGATCGCGGCATGGATGCCAAGCCAGAACTTCGAAATCCTCTCAGGTTCAGCAAGGTTTTAGCATGAAGCTTAGTAGTTGTATGGTTCAGGGTTCAGGGTAATCGTCTTAATTCCTGCAAGGTGCCCTTGAAATTATTCATGACGCCCTGAAGACCCTGAACACCCACATCACAAAAGCAAGCAACAACAACCCTAGCCTGACCCCGAACCCTGAGCCGACGACTCAACGGAAAATATTGAAGGAATCAAGTCCTGACAAGCTTGTAAAACCCTGGTTTAGGGTTTTAGGGTTTTTTTAGTGCACTGGCTCTTTCTGCTCCGCAAGAGAGTCGGTCGAGCCCGCCTTTAGGGTGTAGGGTTTAGGGTTTAGATAAAAAACGTTACAAGTGCGAACCCCTGTTAGACCCGTAGAAAACAGCGAACATGTTCCACAGTGGAGTGGGCTCTCTCAACAACTGCCACTTCGGGGCTGAGTACCCCAGCCGAAAACAAGTTACCCTTGGCAATAATGGTAGTATGATTATGTCAATCTTGAAAGGGTTACAGGCTACCTACTCAGCTAAGATCCAATTATAGAATCCCCATAGATCCCTTAAGAGGAAACCCTTATAGACAGTATTCCAAAAGGTTAATGGGTTACCTACTCAGCTTCGTCTGGCCTTGTCGAGCTCTCTTGTTTCATTGTCTCATTTCTCTAAGCGTTGTCCTTTGCGTTTGCCGGGCAAATACTGAGGCCACAGCTGCGCTCTGGTGCTTGCCCTGAACTATCAGCGTTTTCACTGTCTCTTTATCTGCGTCTCTCTCCAGAGTAAGTCCGCAGCGTGCTTTTTGGCAACGCGCAAGGTCTGCTGCACCAGTCGCTCGCGCTCGGCCTGAGTTGTTGTTGTCGTCGAAGACTAGACCGCTGGCGCGCGAAAACTCGGATCAGAGCTGAGGGCTCCGAATTTAGCCTGTTGCCGGGGACCTAAAGTGAACCCCCCAGAAGAAGCGATCCTTAAAGGACTCTTGAAGGGATCCTTAAAGGGTTCTTTTAAGGGATCTTTAGCGGCTACCCCAAAAGTTGGAAACCGGACTAAGGACTAATTAGTGCTGGGATTTCCTTTACATTACTCTTGAGGATTGAAGCCATTGAGTCGGTTAGAGATGAGGGTTCGAGATTTTGTGGTTTTAGGGGTTTTGGGTTTAAGAATTTTAAGCATTACGGGTTAAAGTTCAGGGGTTGGGAATTAGGGTTTGGGGTTCAGGTATTTAGATTTTGGGTTTTGAGGTTTAGGCTTCTGGGATCGGGTTTTAACTTCGGTCCCAGCATATACTTCAGGCTCGCATCCATATCAGTTCCTTGGGGTTTGGGGTTTAGGGTGCGCTAGGTGTCGATTCCAACCTTTAACAGTCCCCATAATCAGTTACAAATAAGGCTCTATACTAAGCAATGATGGACATCGAAAGCTATCCCAAATCGATACCTAGTACAAGGTAGAGAGGGTTACTTGATGTGGGTGGTTGTCAAAATCATGGTCCCTTTTTGGGTCTCTATTATAATACGGCACCTAATATTTAGTGTACCCACAAAGGGACCCTAATTTTGACAACCACCCATATGATTCCTGGATGTCATCCGGGCGCCTGTCCTGTTTTATCGGTTCACGGTCTTCTGAGTTCGTGGTGAAGGGCATCGGCCAAGGCTAAATTCGAACTTTAGCTTGGGTTGGGAATTCACCCTGAACCCTACGTGCGGCACTTGACCCTCAAGCCCTGAACGCATATCAATAAAACACAAACCTCAAAAGCATGAACCACCAAACTAAAGCTATTACCCAAAGTTTAAAACCGAAGCCCTAAGGCACCAAAAGGTATCAAAACAACTCTAAGACAACTCTAACTGCTACAATATGCCAAGAACAACGTACCAAAAACAACTCAACAACTCTAAATCCTAAACCCATCCCTGAACGCCAAATCCCTGAGCCAGAAACAAACAGAAATAAGCGCCAAGCAAAAACCAAAAACCCTAGCCTCCAGGCCTAAAGCTTCAAGTTATCCAAACCTTCAAAGCCGCAATCAAAAAGCTAGACCCCAAAGCCCAATCCAGTCACAAAGCGCACATACAATCAGAACCAACAACAACAAGTCTAAATCCTGAATCTCGAGGCTAAGCCCGTCCTGTAGCTGCACTTCGCCGTGCAACCACCCGTTTCATCTACCAGGGACCTCGGTTAGGGCTAGGGCTTAGGGTGCCTACGGCCTAGGGTTTAGGATTGTCAATGGGTGAGGGCTTTAGAAGCTGGTATATTAGGGTTCAGAGACGCTGGCAGGCACCATGAACACCGACGTATTCCTAACAAGGACAGCAGCCGGGCTGGTGGTCTTCATCCCTGGGCCTCTCCCGGTTTCAGCGTGACGCGAGTGTCCTCCCGGATGCCAGCGATGCGCGGCAGAAGCACATTTATCCCATGCCGAAAAGGCGTCCGGTCTAGGAGCAGGCAGAAGTCGGGCACCGGAGTGCTCACTGGCGGCCCGATACCAAGATGCGGACCTATCGCTCCTCTCAGATCCGCCCGTTCCGAGTCACTGACACCCAGGACACGTCTTCACAGAGCTCGTTCCTCAGGTCGACAATCCACGTCGCGATGGCGGAAGCCACATCCCGACTGAAACTTTGGCGTCTGCTCTGGCACCGACTCCAACGTGGGCTCTGGCATCCTGACATGAGCGCCATTGGCATCCCAGCTCTCCGTGCGCTGATCAAACCCCTACTTGGAGGGGCAGGGGACTTAGTAAGTAGGGTAATAAGTAGGAGTATAACTGGGGCAACTCCATTTAAGGTACTTATAACTCTACTTACCACCGACTTACTAAGTCCCCTGCCCTTCCAAGTAAACCCCAAAAAGCAGATTACCGAGAGGGTCCAAAAATTCTACTATTATGGGATCCCAAAACCCATCCTCCAGGCCGTGTCTTTCCGATGTTTAAGATACCAAGGGGTTCCAGAAATTCTACTATTATGGAATTAGAGGACCCCAAAACCACTATGGGAATGGTCTGTTGGGACCTAATTCCATAATGGTAGTGTTTGTGGACCCTCTAAGTTAGGATTCACCAACAAAAGGCGCTGCCAAGCTCAAGCACCCTGCATGATGTGCGTCTCCGAGCGTGTACGTACTAAGGTCCGGGTGTTGGGAGCCTGGGTTAGGGTTTAATTTAATGTAGGGAACCGAAATAATTACCTATACTACCTTTGAAGGGATCCTGAAGGGTTCTTTTTAGGGCTCTATAAGAGATCTATGGGGTTTAGGATGTAGGGGCCAAAATAACTACCAACCTTACCTTAAAGGGTTCTTATGAAGGGGTCTGTAAGGGCTACTATGGGGGCTACTGAAAGGGTTTCATGTCGGGGCCGAAATATTTACCTAGACTATATTTTGTGTGTTCCTTAGTAAAGTATAGTGTAATGTGCCCCGAAACCCTATTCATTCCACATATGTAGGCCCCTATATTTGCCGGCTTTCAGCACGAGCCAACAAACCAGACCTTGACTATATGCGAATGCGATGCTTCAGAGATAAGAGAACCTACTGTAAACCTCAAACAGTGGAACCCTGGCTACAACGACGCCTTAAACGGTGTTGGAAACCTGACTGCTGCTGTGCGGTGGAGGCTTGAGGGTTCAGGGACTTGCTTGTCCTTCGCTTGAACACTTGAACATATCAGGGTTGAGGGTTGAACCCTTAGAACCTCAACTCTAGCCCAAAACCCAAAACCCTAAACCCTAAAACCCTAAACCCCAAAACCCAAAACCCTAAACCCTAAAACCCTAAACCCTTAAACCCAAAAACCCTAAACCCTAGCCCAAACTAAAAGACCAATAACCTAGTAATGCCAGAAGGGGTTTGGGGAGGATGTAGGGTTTAGGGGTTTACGGGCTAGGGGTTACGGGGTTTAGGGTTTGAGGTTTAGGGTTTAGGGGTTTAGGGTTTAGGGTTTAGGGTTTAGGGCTTTAGGGCTTTAGGGTTTAGGGTTTAGGGGGTTTAGGGTTTAGGGTTTGCTTGGTGTTCTGTTGCTAGTCTATTCAATTTGCTTGTTGTTCTGTCGGCCAAGGACGACGACAATGACAGCGATGATGGTCATGGGAAGTGGCGTCAGGACTCTACTTACAACCATTGCTGGTAACTGTTGATAGAAGCAGCCGTCGTCTTCCGAAACCTCCTACTCGTTCACAGGCCTAAAGCCTGCGAACGAACATCAGCCTCGAAATGCCACATGATTCCAAAAGTCTGTGGGCGCCGAGGCCATGAAGAACTCTCAAGGAATTTGAACGACAGCAACACCCTCACCCTAAAACCCTGAACCCTCAACCCCAAGCCCTGAACCCTAAATCCTAAACCCTTAACCCTACCTGTATCCCCACACCCTACAAAATAGCAGGTTGTGAGCCCTTAATTAGAGGGTCTAACCCTTAAAGCGGTAGGTTTTTGGATCCACAGGTAAACTCTAGACCACCCTAAACCCTAAAACCCTATTCACATTTACGGCGGTTTAGGGCGTTAAGTGCCTCATTTGGCGTTATAAGTGATGATCCTCAAACCCTAAGCCCTTGAACCCTCTAAGGCCTTAAGGAGCACTTTAAGTTACTAAGTCCCATGATGCCTTAAGCAGGTGGAGATCAGGGTGGGTTTGGGATCGGTGTTTCTGCTGCCACGCAGCAGGACTTCGGCTTTGCGCACGACCGGGATCATGTTGGGATAGTCCTGGCTGACTTCCAATGTTAAGGCCTGTAAAAGGGTTCTTAAACAGGGGCCTACAATGGTTACTGTCGGGTTAATTCCAGGGTTTTGGGTATTTGGGGTTTCGGGTTGAGGGGCCTTATTAACTAGAATAGGGGTTTGGGCTCCTCTGTAGCATACATATAAGAAGGAACCCTAAGGAATAATGGTGGTAATTATTTAGGCTTCTGTGGTAGGGTATTTGGGTCTGGAGTTTGGAGATTAATGTTGATCTCTGAGTGCCGGGATCCGATTTTGTCAAGGCATTGCACTGCATGGTTTAGGGGTTCAGGGTTTAGGGTTTAGGGTACGATAATCTTCGTGACAACGGTACGGCTAAACAGAAAGAGCCTGCAAACCAGCTCCTGACATATACTGCATCGCAATCCCCCCGGGCTCCCAAATCACAAAGTCAGAACCCTCCTTGCTTTTGACGCTGGAAACTCTGAATCATTTATAAAAACGATTCCGAAGGACCCTAAACCCTGAACCCGAAACCCAAAACCCTACCAGAACCCGAAACCCTAACCCATCCTCAACCCTGGAACCCTAAACCCCTACAAATAATAGAGGTGCCTTAGGGGATCCTTTAAAGGATGCTATAAGTACCTGTGAGAGTTTACCCTGGGCCTATAACCCCCAAATAGTCGGATTCATATAAGGAGCCCCAATAAAGGCCCGAGGTTTCTTAATCAGGTTCCTACATTACTATAGTACCCTTATAGATCCCTTATAGTAACCTTTACAGACCCCTTTAAAAGGACCCCTTTAGCCAAGGTTTCTTGATCAGGTTCCTACACTAGAGCCCCAGAACCCTGAAGGAGCCTTGATGGATTACCCCTAAACCCTAAGCCCTAAACCCTAAATTATAGAATCCTTATAGATCCCTTGAAGGAGCCCTACGACCTAAGCCCTGAAACCACCTCAACCCTAAACCATCCTAAACCCCTAAAGCCCTAAACCCCTAAAGCCCTAGAGCCCTAAACCCTAAACCCTAAACCCCTGAACCCGTAAAGCCCTAGAGCCCTAAACCCTAGAGATCCCTTATGGATCCCTTTAAAGGAACCCCCATAGATCCCTTTAAAGGAACCCCTAAAGCCCTAGAGCCCTAAACCCTAGAGATCCCTTATGGATCCCTTTAAGGAGCCTTAAAAACCCTGAAGGGGGCCTTGAAGGACTCCAAGCACTGCAGGACGAGGGAGGCTGGGGCTTTCACGTCGACGACCACCTGCTGCAGCTCGGAGTTTAGGGTTTAGGGTTTAGGGTTTAAGGTTTAGGGGTTTAGGGTTTAAGGTTTAGGGTTTGGGGTTTAGGGCTGAGGGTGTAGGGTTTGAGGTTTAGGGTTTAGGGTTTGGGGTTTAGGATTTAGGGTTTAGGGTTAGGGGTTCAAGGGATCCTTAAAGGGGTCCTTTAAGGGTTCCGATAAGGGATCTATTGGGTTTAGGGTTTAGGAGACTCCAATAAACCATAAGGCTTAGGCTTGTGGGTTAAGGGTCAGGGTTTGGGGTTGTGGGTTAGGGCTTTAGGATAAGGGTCAGGGTTTAGGGTTTAGGGGTTTAGGGGTTTAGGGTTCCCAGACACTGCAACATCCCTGAAATCAAAGAATACCTTCAAGTATAGTGTGGTCGCTAGTAGGATTTAAGGAATGTTCCTTGATTAAGAAATATTGGAGTCTCTGGCAGACTTGAGCCATGAGGGTCAGGGTTTGGGGTTTAGGGATTCGGGTTTGTTTTGGGCTTTGGGTGCAGGGTCTTGGGCTTAGGGTTTTGGGTTTAAGGTTTAGGTTTTAGGGGGGGGTTGGGCCATAAGGGTCCATGTGCCCAAAAGTGTTCCTGTACTGGTTCCGCCTAAAGGTCGCTATAAGGGTTCTATAAGGGCTTTAGGGTTTAGGGTTTAACAGACCAGTATATACTTCGGCTCCAAAGTACCTATATAGGGACCACGTACAGTACTTCAAGGCCAAAATATTTGCTAATTGGGTACATGTACCGTTAGGGAAAGGTTTAGGAGTTGGGGTTTAGGCTTATGGTCCTTATGGTTTCGCGATTATAAACGGGTTTTGCAAGGGCTCCACAGAACGCCAAATCGCGACTACACCGCTAGGCCATCGATTCATGGACAAATATGGATAAGCAGGTTGATATTCCGACAATTCTTCCAGAATACACAGACACACATGTCAATGCGTCTCTCGCTCCGGTACAACATCAACGAAATCCTTACAGTGACCCCTGTGCTGTGACAGAGCGCCACCCCGAAAGCCTGAACCCAAAGTCCGTGCAATCCCGTGGACTTTGATCCTAAACCCCTGTACCCTAAACCGCTTTATCAAAGTAAGTTGGAAATCATCCGGAATTCCTAAGAGCTCCGGGGAGTTCAACCCTTCACTCTAAACCCGCTTTGTTAGCCTAAACTGGACTTTGAAGTAACCAGGGAGAAGAAAATATAGACTTTTATTTCATAATGGTTCCTTTAAGGAACAGGTACCAAAAAAAGTATTCAAGTATGGTACTCCAAACCCAGGTACAGCAGAATTTCACACAGAGTTCCTGAGAGCAGAAGGCTCCGAGTCGCCCACAAAGCCATGGCCGGTACCGCCGCTTCGCTCCTCTGCAGCTGTAGGAATTCTGAAGGCTTCGGGCTCTCACTTTGGGGTTATGTTAGGGTTTAGGGTTGGGGGCTTAGGGTTGAGGGTTTCGGTTTAGGGTTTAAGGTTTAAGGCTTATGTTTTCTAGGTTTAGGGGTTGGGGGTTTAGGGTCTTATGCTTTATGGGTTTACGGTTTAAGGCTAAACGGCTCTAACACGCTACTACAGGTCTGGTTTTTGAACATAAATGTTTTGGCACAGAGTAATGAGTAGTAGTGATGGGTAGAGCTCCACAGAGAGCCCATTACACCTTGACATTAACACCGAAGAGCCCTTCCACAAGAAGAGGTATCTTACATATGATCTTCCTGATGAATTATAGTGCTTAGATCTCTTCTCCAGTATTTTCGGCCCGAAAAGCTCAAACTTGCGATAGGCCGAATATATACGGCCAAAAAGTTAGAAGCTCTCCCGATGGCTACCAAGTCAGCGAAAGGGTCTGTGCATCCGGCTTCGGGGTCTGGAGGAACGTCAAAAGCCCCAGTCCGAAGTCCCGGCACCCTAAACCGTACGTGGAAGGGCAGTGGACTTAGTAAGTAGGTTATAAGTAGGGTTATAATTGGGGTAACTCCATTTAGGGTACTTGTAACTCTACTTATAACCTACTTACTAAGTCCCCCTGCCCCTCCAAGTAGCTATAGTTTGGGTACGGCCCCCATACAGTAAGAGTCTATAATTGGGCTACTATTAAGGTCCTAATGTATCTATATTATGAATATTATTCAACTATTACTGAGTGGGGGCCGTACCTAAGCTATGGTCTCCATTGTTGTTCCTTGATTGAGGTCCGTAAATCCTAGCTATGAAATTGGCTTAACCACAAATAACGAACTACAAGGGAGGTTTTGGGATTTTAGGTAATCTTGAGACTCCATGCGCGTACATAGGGCTACTTTGAATGCTAGGGTAGAGTGGTCTGGTGGGTGGTGGCGGTTGTAGCCGGGGATGGAGTGGGGGGGGGGGGAGCAAGTGGTGGGCATGAGTGGGTGGTGGGGTTCCGGAGTCCTACCACTAAGGCTGCGCGGCACAGCGGTAGCACTGTCAAAAAAAGCACTGTCTTCTGTTTTGGTTTGGGGCATGTCAGGCTGAAGCCTCTCATGGACAGGAGAGATTGAGGGGCTGAATAATCAGAAGAAGAACAAGAAGAATAATACTGGTAACACGCAACGTAAAAACAAAAAACAATAATGATAGCAAGTATGCAAACTGTCTTGATGGGGAGTCTCCGGCTTTCTGCCGTCGCACCCAGAGACTCCACTATCCCGTAATTATGGAATACTCCGTAAATTATAGTAGGATCCTGAACTAAGGGATATTGGAGTCTCTGGATATAAGGTCACCGACTGCAGTGTTGACAAGGTGGTGCAGACGCTGCAAAGTTGTCGATGGATTCAGCTTCAGGTTGGGGACGTCGCGATGGCTGGCAGCCATGGTTCGAAAAGCATCGCAGAGACTGGTCTTCTTCGCGAGGAGGGTAAAATCGCCATTCCGTGAACACCTCTCCGAACTCCACGTGCTTCCGCAAAGCTCGGAGAGAGCCGCCGCGTAGCGGCAGGCTGCCACGCAATTCCTTTATCACGTTTGTAAGCATTGATGGCTTTTGCGACCTCATAGGTGTGCAATCCCAGTGATGTTTAGATTGCAAAGATTGATAAGATCTGCGATTCTGCATTTCCCCAATGGGACTTAGAGGCAGAATGTGTTCAAACCCACTTGCGCCGGCCACTTGCGTCCAGACTGCAAGTGTTTTCGATCCCACTTGCGGCCACGTGGGTTGCAGGAGAAGTGAGGATCAGCGTGGACGAAAGACCCAACATTGTCGCATTGGGGTCTGGTGGGGTCCTTGATCTGATTTAAGGAATATTCCTGAAATACGGTACATTGGAGTCTCTGGGTGGCCTGAGGTCAGCACGAGCAACATGAATTCGGGACACGCGCAGTGACATTTGTAGCTTTGTGTATAACTCTAGACTCTAACTACTACGTTGTATGATTCATTAAGGAATAACGTTGGTAATCATTCCGTCAACTATGTTTCCGCCGCTCCAACTCTCTGTGCAAGGTCGTGCCTGCCGCTGAACACGAAGCCCCTCGCCCAACTGCCGCGCCTTCTTCGTTGGTTTCGGGTTTAGGTGCCATGGTTTACGTTTTATTTGTGGCGTTCGGGGTGTAGGGCGTGAGATTGAAATGTCTTAAAGGGTTAGAGAATGGGGGCAAGCGCTTTAGGGGTTTATGGTTTGCAGCAGATGCAATACCTGAAGACCGAAAGTATACAAACTGACTTGATAATCATCTAAGGGCCTACAACGGCCTTGATCATTTAATTACAACAAGGCTTTGGGGTGTTTTGGACTATCCATATACTAAGAAATCACAGGCATCTAGAGTTGCGAACTACTGAGGCAACTGTATTATGTCATTGCGGGCGCTTCTCTTCTGTTTGCTTGAGCGGTCTCTTCATGTCTGTCAGGCTCTAGGAAATTTGCCCCACAACCTGCACCTTAACAACCCCTACCATAAAGCTCCTGGACCCTCGTAGTGAGATCCCAAACCTTAGCCCCCAAAGCCTAAAACCCTTCCCGCAGAAAGCCCATGACCCCTTTCGGAGCCTTAGGGTAAAACTTAAACCGTAGTTAACGGAAACTTTAAACTTTGAACCCTAGTTGGGCGTTCGTCTTGGGGTGCAAGCTGGTCAGGGGTCGAGGACGATTCAAGAAACATGCGAGCGAATGATTCCCAACAAGCTTTACGAGATTATGGAGTCTGTTAGCCCTAAAAGCCTAAACCCCTGAACCCCTTCATCCTCAACCTTAAAAATCTTAACCCGAAAATAAGAAAACCTAGAGGTCTGGACGGCTCTAAACGCTAATACATGCGCCTACATATTAGAACAGGGTTGTGGGACATACTACAACTATAAAGGACCTCGAAAAGGTATTGGTACTTGTTATTTAAGCCCCGTTTATTAGCCTTGAAGGGGTTGGGTTTGGTTTCTAGCTTAGAGCACCTGATCATCGTGGGCATGCATCGAACATCAGCGCAAACAGAATCCATGGAAGTGTTGAGAGTTTACTTGGAGAGGCAGGGGACTTAGTAAGTAGGTTATAAGTAGAGTTATAAGTACCCTAAATGGAGTTACCCCAATTATAACCCTACTTATAACCTGCTTACTATAAGTCCGCTGCCCTTCCAAGTAGGGGTTCAGGGTTCAGGATTGGGGGCTTAAGGCTGCGAGTTTAGGCTTTAGGGTTTAGAGCCGAGGGTCTAGGGCTGTCTACGGGTAAGGTTGCAGGGTTTCGGTATAAGCTCGCAGCATTCCAGAAGCCCAATCTGAAGCGCCGAACCCCGGAGCCTAGAAACGAAAGCAGAACCCTGAGCCACTGTCGTAAACTATACTGGTCCAGAGCTGTAAGGTGTCCGGAGTGCTTTCGTGAATTGAAAGCCTTTAAGCACTATGGTAAATTATAGCATATCATAGAATAGTAAGTACTAAAGGAATATTACTATAGTATACACAATCTTGTAGCATGTCATGGTATAATATTGTATACTATTTTTGAAGAAAGATTATACCCTGAGGCTTACACCTTGAACCTCGCACCTCAACGCCTACACAAAAGAACCAACACTGAATCGCGGAATCCCCAAACCCTGCATCCCAAAAGCTACGCCTAGGACGTAAATCTTATCCCAGGGTAAAGGGAGGGACCCTTAATAAGGACCCCTAGGTATATAACCTTAATATAGCCATTATATATGCTCATTATATAGACCATTATAGTTATAGGGTAGGGGTCGCCATTAATTAAGGGTCCCTCCCTTTCCCTTCCATCTTAGACTTCGGCCCTCGTTCTGGCCTCGTCGGCTGTAAGCTCTGGCAGTTCCAGCGCACAAGCCTGGTTAGCAGTGACCCTAAAGGTCCAAGTACCTTATTATCATACACTCGACTCTCCAAAATCCTAACCTGCATAACTACTATCCTAAAACCCAGTACCTCA